ATGAAACCTTCAAATGCTTTACAAGTCAATTCTTCGTATCTCTTCAAGCTAAAAAAAAAAATACTAAGGAACTCCTAACTCTATCAAGGACAAGTATACCTACCTTTCTGGGCACAGTTTAGAAACAGTAATTGAAGCCAAGGGTATTTAGGAATATTAACACCCCTTAGCTTCTTCTCATTTTTGTTGCTTTTTACCATGTGGAGGTGTGACACTCTTGGCATTCCCCACTGAACAGGAGACTGAGAACAGGCCTTTCTGTTTAAAGCACAGAGTGATGGATACAGTGGAGTCATGCTAACCAGCTATTTAAGTGGGGTGATGATAGTCATGATGGAGAGATATGCAAATCACACAGAGGAGTTCTGCTCCGATCAGTCTGAGAAGGAAGCCACCATGTTTCTCAAGCATAACTGTAGCTACTACTAGAGACAAGGGCCTGGAACTAAAGGGACTACTTAGTATTTCTAACAGCTCAAGCTGCTTCTCTCTAGCTCAGAATGCCTTCCTCCTCATGGAAATCTCCATCTTTCAAAGCCAGGCTCAAGTCCGGCCTCTTTGATAAAGACTTTCACCATTGCAACATACTGGTCATTCTCTAAATTCCTACTGCGGTCTCTACTATTTGACTAAATCTGTTCAGTATTTAATTGTTTCATGTATTTTTGCCTCTTGACTTCATTAGATTATGAGCTTCCTAGAGGCAGGGGCCATGTTTCATGGGTTTTATTTTTTTATTATACATCCCCTTTCTTCTATTAAAATACTCTATAGTCTATACTTTAGTATTCATTTCTAAAAGAAAATACGGACATTTTCTTAGGTAACCACAGATACCTAAACAAAATTAACAGTAATCTCTTGGTATCACCTAATATCTAGCTCATATTCAAATTTACCCAATTGCCTCAAAAATGTCTTTTCACATGCTTTGTTATGAATCAATGTCCAAACAAGATCCATATACTGCATCTGATTATTATGACTCTTAATTCTCTTTTATTGTAAAGCATACCCCCCTTCCCATTTTGTCAGTGATTTTTTAATTCATTTTTTTTAAATTTAAAAACAATTAATTTAAAATCAACTAATACAGTGTATTATTAGTTTCAGAGGTAGAGTCTGTGACTCATCAGCTGCATATACCACCACCTAGCCATTTTTCCTATTAAGTGTACCACATTTAGGATTTGTCTGTTTCCTCCTAGTCTTAAGAACTACGTTTATTGGGGCGCCTGGGTGGCTCAGTGGGTTGAGCATCTGCCTTCAGCTCGCGTCATGACCCCAGGGTCTTGGGATCAAGTCCTGCCTCGGGCTCTGCTCAGTGGGGAGCCTGCTTCTCCCTCTCCCTCTGCTGCTCCCTCTGTTTGTGCTCTCTCTCTCTGTCAAATAAATAAATAAATAAAATCTTTAAAAAAAAAGAGCTAACTTTATCATCCATTTACTCAACAAATACATATTAGGAGCAGAATATGAACCAGAACTTTATAAAATGCAGTGGCTACAATAGTGAATACAACTATAGTCCTTGCTTAGTCAGAAGAAAGCCGTGAAACAGCTGTACAAAATATTAACTACTAGCAATTATGATATGTGCTATGAAGGGAAAGTACAAAGTAGTAAGAGAAATTATAGCAAAGGGACCTAACCTACTATAGGGGTCAGGAAGAGTATTTATTTTATATATTTCAATGCACCTTGTACAGTGTTAAGTAAATAAACATTCAGTACTCCCCGGCTGGCTGGGAGAGTAAGTTTTCTTCAAATTATCAGCCTTATAAACTAAAGGACACATCACCACCTCTGGAGTTATGAACATTAGATCTGATTCTCTTACGACTCCATGTTAAAGAAAACTGAAAGGGCAAACAAATGGTTTTCCCTAGTGAAATAAACTATTTTAGAAGAGAAGAAAAATTCAGGAAGTGGCTATATAAAATCAAAGAAAAAGACCCCATTTTCTGGACCACCAGTTTAGATATTAGGACAATGGATTTTTGACAGGGAACAGAATAGATATTATTGAAGCCTAGAAAAATATGCTTAGCAGAATATCTGACATACTGCTCAAAAAGGCTTTTAGGTTAAAGTTGAGGAAGGAATATTATCCAGGCACAGTTTAAGACTGGATATAATGGATGGAAACAGACAGAAAAACAGTAACAGAGAAGATAAATAATAACCCAGATTTTCATTTTAAAAGCTTATAGCACTATTTTTAAAGTATTATAAAATACATTACTTTTATACAGAACTCTCTACTTGAGACCAATGTAAATGTTTAAGTCACCCTTGTCCACATCATATGTTAGTCTCGTTGGGGGTAATAGCATGATCTGAGTGTCTTCAAAAGAAATACCTTCTGCTATGGATTGAAATGTATTCTCCACCCACAGCCAAATTCATGTGCTGAAGCCCTAACCCTCAGTCTGACTATACAAAGAGAGTCTTTAGGAGTTAATTAAGGTTAAATGAGCTCATAAGGATGAGGCCTTAGTCTGACAGAACTGGTGTCCTTATAAGAAGAATAGAGGGGACACCTGATAAATTAACTTAATCTCTTTAACTTAATAAGCATCCAACTCTTGATTTCGGCTCGGGTCATGATCTCAGGGTTGTGAGATCGAGCCCTGTGCTGGGTGTGGGCGTGCAGCCTGCTTAAGATTTTTCTCTCTCCCTCTGCCCTTCCCCCACCCCCCCTCTCTCCCTCTCCAAAAAAAAAAAAAAAAAAAGAGGAAGAGAGACCAAAACTCCCTTTCAGACATGTGAAGACACAGTGAGAAGGTGGCTGTCTGCAAGTCAAGAAGAGAGCCCTTGCCAGAAACTAAAACTGCTGAACCTTGATCTGGGATGTCTAACCTCCAGAACCGTGAGAAAATAAATATTCAATGTTTAAGCCACTCCGTCTAAAGTATTTTGCTGTGATAGCCCAAGCTGACAATGACACTTTTCTAAATTTTTTCCTCTCTAGTATCTAAATCTTAAAGCTCTCTCCTCTGCATGATTTGTAGAATATGTCTGCGCAATTTGAAGGATACATTGGAAACTAAAGCTATGTGCATAAAAAGGATACGTTGACACCTAACCAAGTAGACAAAAGAAAAATAATTGGTTAAGGAACTTCCTAATCAAGGGAACAAAATGGAACAGATGGTTTTATTTGCTTGCATTTACTTTTACACTCTTGAAATTTCATATTTTTTCAAAACAAATAGAAGCTCTCTTCAGGTGAACCAGATCTGGGTATTTTCAGCTGTGGTCAGCTTCTCTCTGAATCCCACTAGGGTTTGGTGATGCAGAGTAAACAAAGCTATAAATCAACTGCAATGCATTTAATACCTCAATGCATTGCAAATTGATCTGGAATAGGGGTCAGTTCAAATCGTTTTTTTAAGTTAAACTGTTCCCTTCCCCTAAAGGGAAGGAATGGAAGTTAAAGATAGCAACTCCTAAAGTTATATGGGTTTCAGAAGTGTGGCTGTTTGTTAGGATAGTCAGAGGCCAGGTTTCTTCAGGTGAGATTCTTCCGTTACTTATCAGGTTGGAACCGTGGATATTTAAAAACACATCCTGGTGGCTGGCATTAAATCTGAAATCTGGTGGGCAACTTTTCAAGAAATAAAAGCTACAGACAAAATAGCTTTAGTTCCATTCAGCACACTGTGGGAAATGCAACTAATGGACAAGCATTACTATGACTGGCAAGGCGAGGTGCCAATAAATGAGAGGAGCAGAGATTCAAACCACCACATAACAGCAACATTTCCTAAGCTTATTTCACTAATTTGTCAAAGTAGAACATTATCTGAGGTGAAAGAAAAATGAGGTTGGAAAGCACAGGGGAAGGAACTATTTAAAGGTAAAAGCTATGCTTCTTTCTCTATTGGTTAGTTATCTCTGCTTTGAGTAATTATGGTTTACTTCTACCATTTCCTGATACCACACTTGGTTTTACTAAACGCAGTGTTTTCTCTTTTTCATACGATAAGCAGAGAGTTACTTCTGGTAGGACAAATTTCCAGCTGCTTATGTCTGCCTTGCCTTTTTCCAGTAGGAAGAAATGAAGTCTAGTCATTACAGAAGGAAAGTGTGGAGTTCTGATATGCCACCCCTCACAGAGGGACGGAAGGCTATATTCTCTGCTTACCTTTTTTTTTCCCCTGAAGAAGAAAAACTTCAAGTGCTATCTCCCATCTTTTCTCCATCTTTAACTCTCAACTCTCAATTGTTTCTTATAATTTTAAACAAACTGTTAAACAGGGCAATACTTGTACTGTCTTACTTGGAATGGAATGAAAACTATCCCATCATAAAGGAAGAATAGATTCACTTAATTGTATAATTAAAATCAGTCTAAAATTCAACAAATAATGCCTTAAACTCTATTTCAGATATGCTTTTTAGTATAATGGTTAATGTAATAGTGTAATGGTTCTCTCTGTAATGTAATACAGCATGGATTCTGGGACTGGACTACGTGGGTTCAAATCCTATTTCCATTACTTACTAGCTGTACAGATTGGATAATCTCTCTATGCCTCTGTCTCTTCATCTGTAAATGGAGAACACTAATAGTACATCACAGGTTGTTGTACCTGGCAAAGAGAAAGCACTCTACATATGTTAACTACTATCAAGATTCTTTCAGAGAATATCTAAAGGGCATTACATTAATCGCCCTACTCTCTGTTAGTACTATTAAACAGTTACATACAAAACCAAGTGAAACTTTTCCTGTCTTAGGTCACATAAAACAATCCTCCTGCTAATCAGATAAGGAAAAAGAATAAGAATGAAATCCTTTCTTCAAAATTAGCCTTAAATGACACAAAGATTTCACCAATAACGTAAGTATACACTTGACTTTTACAGGCAAGACATTGTATTTAAATCTACATGTTTCAATGAAAAGAGTCAAATGAAAAACACATACAATAATAGCAGCTTATTCTAAAACATTGACATCATCTGAAACATTGCTTTATGAGCAAAATACATACTTCTGGGGTGATCTGTTATCAACTTCAGCCTTCAGTCGTAAATTCTCCCTCACCAGGCCACCATTTTCCAATTTCAATTTTTTATTTGCCTTTAAAAAAGAGTTGAAAATAATTAAGCATGAACTAAAACAGGTGCCTTATAAAAATTATGTCATGAGCCATCTGTATTTTTTAGAGTGATATCAGAAAATTGAATACTAGAACATGGTCCTCAGAAACTTAAAATCACCACTGGGAATGACTTGTAAAACTGTGAACACAACCAAGCATTTTTAATCCATAATCCCCAAGCACCTTGCAACTCTCCTATCCAGGGAAATAAACAGCTATGTTAGTTAGCTTAGCGTCATTAAGGGACTATACTAATGGCAAATATTTTTTTTTTCCTTTTTCACATAACTGAATATTCTAGGCATGGTAACATTATACTATATGCAATTATTTGCAAAACTAATGCTAAGAGTTAATTCTCATGAATGATGAGCTGTAAGACTGATTTTGGGTTGTTACTTAAAAATAGCTTTTTAGTGATAACAAATCTAATATAGTTAAACCACTTGCTTGCTTTCTTCACAAGGCTTTCCCAAATGCCTTGGCTCACAACTTCTGGGACTCTCAAAATTGGGTCAATATTTTCTAATAAAATTCTAAGAATTCTCTTTTGATTAAAAAAATCCCAAGTATGACTTTCTTTTTGAATTGTATGATACCTAAAAACTGTCTAACAAAACATTAATTGCTAGGAAATTTAGAAGTTGAATATTGATTCTGGATAAAAAGTAGTGTGCCTCAATTTTAGAGTCTTTTTAAAAGCTATTTAAATTCCTCAGTCATGGCATTTTTTAATTCCAAAGAATAACACTCCCTAGCCTAGAAACCAATCTCACTAACTTGGCAAGAGAAATGTCTTTTGTTTGACTAGAACATTGACATTTAAAACATTTTAAAGTGAATGGGTCACGAAAACTACTGTCAACAAAAAGGCTTAAACCCAAAGACTTAAAAACAGATTTAAAAAATTTGACCAATGTTCTTGAATAATTTCCAGAACTTCTGACTATACTGCTCATCCACCCACACACAAATACCCCAAGAGGATGACAAGAGAGGAAGGGCAAAAAACATTCTTCTGGGCACAAAGCCTAGCTAGCTCTTGTACTTAACACTCATGGAGGTTCTTTTTGGGCTCTTGAGCAGCTACTTATCCTCATGGTTGCAAACCAACCAGTACTGTGGAGGGTTAATTCTTTAAGTGATTGATAAACACTATTACTGCCCCTCTGAAGATACAAGGAAAGTCATTTACTTCCTCATACACACAGACAATGAATTAAGCTCTCAAACACAGCACCATAAGACGAGGCACTTAGTGAATGCTTTCTGATGATGATGGCAAGCTTAAATTAGAAACTCATTTGACTTCTCTTCCCCATCCCTTCCATACTGTATCACTACATTTCAAGGTCTTTCACCAGTCCTGTGGCTCTCTAATATCCTCATTATGGGCTGGCTGGTTCCTCAACTATCAGAGGTATTTTCTTTTCTTTTTTTTTTTTTTTTAAACCATCAGAGGTATTTTCAATTTAGGTGGCTCAAGATTACAAAGCGCAAAGTTCTACCCATTTGTTGTACCTAGGACTTCACATAACTATTTTGCATTTGTAATACTGATTGCGTAAATGATACTGATCTCATAATGGTTTCAAAACTTACCTAGTCCTGGAAACATCAGAAAACAAGTCCATTTCACTCATGCTGTGTAGTCTGAATCTTTTGTACTCCTGTATTTGATTTATAGTATGTTATTTTGTACCTCAGATTCAAATTTTGCTTCCATGTTTTTTAATTCATTTGTGCCCCCATTTATTGCCTAGTACTACCTAATACCACCACTAGGTATCCAAAATGGGCTTGTTAAATATCCCAAATAATTCTGAGGTCTCAGTGTAGCTTTGGGTATTGAATTTAATATGTGACCTTTAAAAGAGCAAAGAAAAACTGTGTTTTATGTACTTTTCTTTCACATACACCCCCTACACCACTTTTACAAGCCCAGAATAATGTTTTCATACAGATCCTCATCTTCAAAGAAGCATTTATTGCCAAAAATTTAAATGAAGTTTAATAACTATAAAAGAGACCACGTAGAACTTAATGATAGCTCAAGAAGACAAAGGGAAGTTAAAGGGGACATAGTAGATTAATAAATACTGTAACTTTCCAGATGTCTTTCCTTTTTATATCCTCTTCTTGGACAAACCAACAGGCTAATGTTGGCCTTCAATACCCAAAGAAACTACACACTTCCCCTAAACTTGTAACAAACTCAGTGTAATTCTATCTATAGTTTCTTTTTTCTCTGAAAGCACTAAGTTCCCTTCTTTCATTATGGCCTTTCCTGAGCTCAAACAACATTTATTTTATAGGCAGATATGTGAAGATGGCTTAGTATTTACATTAAGTTGCACACTGCTATGCTATTCAGCTTCACTGAGGATCTGGGTGTCAGTATGTGGTGGTAGTTCTTTAAGGAGCTCATTAATGTTTTCAAGGAGGCAGGACTCAATCATTCAACACAGTAACAATATTTTAAGTGAATACAGACAGGTTAAATGGGCGGCTGTGGACATGGATACCACAAAACCAACTCCATACAGCACAGCAGGACTCCGCTGTGGATAAACTTGAAATGAAAGCCAAAGGCTGGTCCCTCTGGCCAACAAAACTCTACAGCACTTGATTATAACAACCTGTCATACTGATGGCATGGATCTCATCTCTTTTCCTAGACTGAAAAAGCCTAGGGGTTGCCTTTTCCACCTATGCTTTATCTTGTTGGGTGAAAGGAAGAATAACTGAAAAAAATGAACCCACTTCATAAGCTACAATACTTTCTTACATGGAGTATTCCAAAGCAGCTACTCAAAGCTTCCTTGGAATTAGTCATTCAGTCTTTAACTAATTACAATCTTAAAAATCAGAGAATGGTAGTATTAGAGAAGATATGTTCCAAACCTTCCATTTTATAGGTAGAGAATTGAATACGTTTGTTTTTATGCATATAGGGCAGTCACTGACATAAGCTTAAGAAAAAATTAAGGCAAACCACAAAGAAGGTAAATAGAAACACATCCTTTAAACTGATGTCACTCTTCTACAAGAAGATGCAAACTCATACAAAAGCACTACAGTCTCCAATTATGGTCACAAATGGAATGACCTGATATTTCTTGGCAGCTAATGACATTTAAGGAGAAAAAAGTTCTACTGCTTATAAGTGCTCATCCAGAGATTTTTGTCCTTCCCCAAAAATTTTCTAATGAGTGAAGATAATATGGCTATTTTACTTTTGAAGGGACTTAAAATACAGAATTTTAAAAACCACAGCAGAATTTAAAAAATAACCACAACTTACTTCCTTTAACTTATCCACATCATCTTTTACTTTTTCATAGATTTCATTAGCTGTTCTAAGTTTTTTCTTCCACTCTGCTACAGTTTCTGGGTCAATTTTACTTGGATTATCTGCAACTGGATGTTTGTCTTCATTTTGGTTGCCTTGCATCAAGGTTAAAGGATCCAGAATAGTCTTGATTTGTGACTCCAAGCTAAGATTTTTACTCTTAAGATCTTCTACTTCTTTCTGCAGACAATCTATTTCATCCTGAAAAAGAATTGCATGGCCATTAGATAGACACAGATACTAAACACATATATATGCTAAACTGAGGTCAATGTGTTTTTAAATTTTATACTCAAAATTCTGTAGGTACACAGATTCATTATGCATCAGAATAACTTTGTAGGCAGAAAGTCACATACAGCTGAAATTCTCAAAATGTATTTGACTCTGGTAAAAGCTGGCATTTCCACTGCTTTCATTTTAATTCAGTGATAGTTTGTAGTTAAAAAAATAAAAATGTTGGGGCGCCTGGGTGGCTCAGTTGGCTGAGCGTCCGACTCCTGATCTTAGCTCAGCTCTTGATCTCAAGGTCATGAGTTCAAGCCCTGCACTGGGTTCCACACTGGGCACGGAACCAACTTAAAAAATAAAATAAAATAAATAAAATTAAGATAAAAATGTCAGATCTTTGATTTTATTGAAGAAAGCCAGAAAACAAGACAAGTCACGTGAATTCAACAAGGAAGTAGATTCCACAGAAGAAAATTCTTAGGCTTGTTTAATTGCTTTAGTAAGAGGAATTAAAAAGAGACGGTGTTGATCAAGGTCATAATAGTTTTGTTTGATGTTTACATTTTTGCTTCTGCATTTGAAGTAGAGTGTAACCCTATACCATGTCCTTCCACTTTCCTTCAGAATACGTGTGGTTAATTTTTAGTTTTACTTTAACTTTTCTATATTCTGGTTCTTCAATTACCACTGTGACTATTTCAAGTATTAGTTTTCCCCATCTGGAACTGCTGTCTTAAATCCAATTACTAAACATTTGGTCTAGAACTCTTTTTTGTGATACCATTTATTAATCTATAATAGATATTTCATCTTAAACTAAGATTGTTAGAAATTCTGTTGTTAGAAAATAAACTCCAAGTATTTCAATATGCCAGTGAACTCTTAAAGGATTAATCTGATTAATACCTAAGTATGATAAATATTAAGTATGTAAGAATACATTTTAGAGTTAACAGACAGTACTATTTATTACTTTAAATTACAGTACATGTCAAGTTCAATTGTGTTTTAAAATAAGAAAGTAAGTTTTTTGTTGGAATTAATACATTAATAAACAAATATGAATTGGAAAACATATATGAATGAACATTTATGCAGTCATTTATTTATGCCCCACTTTATTTCAAAATATTTTTGAGGCAACTGAAGCAGTTTCCATGTTATACTTTAACTTAAAAATATTTTGTGTTAAAATAAGAGATTAATAACATCCCCTCTTTAGTCAACATAAAATAACAACTGGGTTTAATGGTTACTATTCAAAACCGTGCATATTCCAGGGGTGCCTGGGTGGCTCAGTCCCTTAAGCATCTGCCTTCAGCTTGGGTCATGACCCCAAGGTCCTAGGATTGAGCCCTGCATTGGGCTCCCTGATGAGCAGGGAGCCTGCTTCTCCCTCTCCCACTTCCCCTGCTTATGCGTACTCTCTCTCTCTCGGTCAAATAAATAAATAAAACCTTAAAAAAAAAAAAAAAACACCCAAAACATACATATTCCATTAGCATGAAGCTAATTTGGAAAATTTCCATCACCATATTAAATCACCTTCCCAAGAAAGAAAACTACTGCATGATCTCACTTATATGAGGTATCTAAAAAAACTGGATATATATAATCAGAGAGTTAAACAGTGGTTACCCAGGGTGGGGAGGTAGGGGAAATGTAGAGTTGGGAGAAAGGAGATGGGTCAATATGTACAATGTTGTAGTTATGTAGGATAAATAAGTCTAGAGCTCTCATGTACAGCATGATGACTATAGTTAATACTGTACTGAATACTGGAATTTGCTAGCAGAGTAGATTTCAGGTACTCTCACCACAAAAATAAAAGTACGTGAGGAGATGGCTATGTTAGTTAGCTAGCACAATCATTCGTTAGCACAATCATTCACTATGGATATGTATATCAAAACATCATGTTGTGGGCACATAAATATATACAATTTTTAAATTTTATTATTTGAGATAGAGACAGAGAAAGAGCTTGAGCACGAGCGGGGAGGAGGGGAGGAGGGGCAGAGGGAGAAGGAAAAGCAGACTCCCCACTGAGCGGGGAGACCTACATGGGGCTCCATCCCAAGACCCTGAGCCTATGAAGTCAAACACTTAATCAACTGAGCCCCCCAGGTTCCCCAAATATACACAATTTTTATTAAAAATAAAACCAAAAATAACCTCACTGGTTAACATGCAAAAAAAAAGAAAAAAGCATATTTCACACCAAAATCTCTTTGCTGGTAGTTGACATAGGTATATTTATTTTACGAAAACTAATCAGGCATAGAATTATCAGGGAATTTATAGACAAACAAAATGGAATGAAAGTTACAGTCACTGTTTACCAGAGCATTCATAATGCCCTGTGGGGGCTGGAAGACTGACTTTCACAAGAGGGTTTCTTTTCTCTCCCAACTTGAGGAGCAAATACTTACAAAATGATGTGTCTGTTGAGGACAAATTTGAAATTAAAAAAAGGAAAAAAAATGCTTATATTTGTTCCTGTCTTCTATTTGAAATAGAAAAGGGAAAAAGAAAAAAAATTTATCAAATAAGATATTAAATAGGCTCCATACCTAACATGGGGCTTGAACTCCCGACCCTGTGGATCAAGCGTCACATACTCTACTGAGCCAGCCAGGCGCCCCTCAAATAAGATTTTTTTTTAAGATTTTAATTATTTATTTGACAGAGAGAGACACAGCAAGAGAGGGAACACAAGCAGGGGGAGTGGCAGAGGGAGAGGGAGAAGCAGGCTTCCCGCGGAGCAGGGAGCCTGATGCGGGGCTCGATCCCAGGGTCCTGGGATCATGACCTGAGCCGAAGGCAGACGCCTAATGACTGAGCCACCCAGACACCCCCAAATAAGATATTTTTAAAATAGCATTTAAAATAAGATTTCATTGGATGTTTACTCTAAGAAGTCCAGAGACTGAGATAGCTCAGTTTTAGCTTGAATTCAGTGTTGTCCTCATTTTAAATTATAATTATTATTTACCTCATACTCTTTGTGGAGTAACTCAAGTCTAGTTTTCCGAAGGTGCTTCCTGACTGTATGGCTTAGCATAGGTTCACTTTCACTTGTTCCTCCTACAAGGGGAAAAAAAAAATCTAACTTTTATTCTGATTTAGGCAGTATAAAAACAAAGATAAACGGTTTTCTTATTGTCTTATATACTTCTCCAGCTTAATTTCTACCTTTCCCTTATATACACACTTGGGGCTTCCACCTAGGCCTTTTCTCTATCTCAATCTGGAGAAAAGGTAAGTGTCAAATAACACCATAATACCTTCAGTAAAATATCATGGGTGTTTACTTACCTTTGTATCTTATTATAATAAACTCAATGAAGGCAAAGGCTGTATTTTGTTAATTATCACATTTGGACTACTGCAAAGTTTGAATACCAGACAACAGTTAAGTGGTAATAAAACTAATGTTTATATTTATATTTAACCAATGAATACATCATCCATATTATCAATTTAAATTTCACATAAATAATTATCTAATATGTTTATCTATCTCTATATATGCGTTCATATTATGATATATATATTATTATAACCAAAATATTCAAACATACCTAGTTACTGGTAACACAAATGAAAAGATTAACGCATCTTTTAACTGAATCTAACAACCCAGTTACGATGGATTATGAATCACAGCATTAACTGTATGCCCGTAACGCGATACAAATACACTCAAAATGAATTCTTCCTGAGAGCTCGTCAACTATGCTGTGGTTACTTTCTTTGTACTTCTTAGTATCATGACAGCAAAGGCATTTTACAGATGTTCTTTTTCAGGACATTCTATCCAAATACAAGGATGAGTGAACTATTTTACTTGAGTGAATTTATGAAATATCACTTAGATATGAAGGCAGGAGAAGGTATGTGAAGAGAAGCTGGGGAAAACATTCAAATTATTTTAATCATCAAAGTTCACAAGAGAAAAATATTCCTCTACCAGATTTCACCCAAGTACCAAGAAAGAAACCTTGGAATAATCTCTGATTCCTCCTTTGGATTTCTTAGTTCCAAAGTCCTACTAGTTCTTCTTTTGTTCTGGTATTTATCTTCCTGTCCATTTCCACTGTAAAAATCTTACTAAGTCCATTTTCCCTAAGTTGGGATTATTACAATGACTTCTTACATTTTCTGAAAAGTGTTTTCTCTACGTAGCCAATGATAGATTCACTTTCAATTTTTCGTAAAGCAAGAAACAAGTAAAAATCATTTTAATTTCTGCAATCTAAGAATGATAACTTAATATGAGCAGAATAAAATCCAAACACTAAAAACGCTCTTTAAATGTTTAATTTTTCAAGGATCTTCTAGTTCAAGTTTTATCTCCCTTTTACCCACACTGGTATTGCACTGAATGTTCTTTTTTATCCTTAAACCAGACTCACATTCCCCCTTAACTGGGCTAGAGCCTCCTACCTGACATACTCACATTGTGTCTCTCCCCTTCAACCCAACTCACATATCATTCCTCAAGCACATTTTGGATCTTGCCACTCCCTTGTTCAAAACCATCAGCTTACTCTATTCTTTTCACCCACAGAGCAAGTCCCTGAATTAGTTTATTACTCAAGATTCTCTGCACTAAAGTCTCAATTTATACTTTCAGTCTTATTTCAGTAGTCAGACCAAACTTAACTACTGATCATTTCTAACAACATGCTTTGTGTTTTCCTACTTCTAATCCTTAGTTCATGCTATTCTCTCTGTATGAAATGCCCTCCCTAATCTTTACCAGTTGAAATTTTATCCATTCTTAAATCTCTTAAGGCCACGTGCTTTATGAAGCCTTTCTTGATATTCCCAGCTGAACTTCCTTGCCTGAACTCTATGGGCCTCTTTGACCTTTAACACCTGCTGCTTTAAACCATTAATACTTTGGTCCACATGCACAGCCTCTTACCATAATGTTAGTTCCACAAGCCTCTAAGATTTCTCATAGTGGCTTGTGCCACTGTGTTCACTTACAGATTATACAAATGACCAATCCATCCAGTATGACAGTGGCAAAATGACATCAGTGAAAATTGTCTATTTTAGTCTTTCTCCAAATATACACTATTTAGAGATTGTTTCAAATCTGTTTTTATGTGTTTATAAAATAGGCCCTTACCAATAATCTCTTTGCAAGGATTTTCAGGCGTGATGGGGACTCTGCAAGCTGGACACTGGCTATTATTCTTCAACCACAAATCGATACAAATTGAACAAAATACATGGTTGTTGATGCATATGACAGGCTGGCGTACCTTTGAAAAAAGAAACACTACTTTTAGTACAGGGCAATAGTCATAACTGGGAGAATCCCAATAAGTTTAGTTTAGAGCAAACAAACAGTTTCTCTAGAGTACAGTGGAGTGGGTGCTTTAAGAGGAAATTATTCAGGATTTATAAAAACACTGGTTTATAATTTAAACAGCAAACAATGCTGACAGAAATACTAACATGCACTAAATATAAAAATATTTCACTCCGGGCGCCTGGGTGGCTCAGTTGGTTAAGCAACTGCCTTCGGCTCAGGTCATGATCCTGGAGTCCCGGGATCGAGTCCTGCATCGGGCTCCCTGTTCAGCAGGGAGTCTGCTTCTCCCTCTGACCCTCCTCCCTCTCATGCTCTCTGTCTCATTCTCTCTCTCAAATAAATAAATAAAATCTTTAAAAATATATATATATTTGACTCCATTTATACAATATGCACAAATACTAATACTTTACATTTCTATAGTCTTATATTTTACAAAGGGCTTTCACATGTACTTTCTCTGTGTTTTTGTTTTGTTTTAAATAGTCCTGTGAGGTAAACACAGTTAAATATACCTCACAAATAAGGAAACCAAATTGTAAAGAAATTAGGTGGCTCGGTCAGGATTAACTTAGGTGTTCTGAGTGTGTGTCGCTGTTTTAAAAGACAGAAAATAGAAGAAAGAAGTTACGTTAGTTTTCTACCTGATGTTATGTTTGTTTACACATTTAATGTCTATCTCTCCTATTAGAAAGGAAGCTGCATGAGAACAAGAACTTCCCTCATTTCATTCATTCCTAAATTTCTGATGCCTAGAAGACAGCCTAGTACACAGTAGGTACTCAATAAAAACTCGCTGGATTAGTAATTGCTATTAAGACAGTATTTAACATTAATTGGCAAACTGCCAGAGGGAACAATAACTTAATATTCTTCAAGTAGCAAAAATTTTTAAATAAAAACCAAAATAACATGGAAATGCTTAGGCTTTCTCTTGATTCACAAGGTAATGTTACTGTGGGACTCAAAATACTTTATAGCATTTTCAATAGTTTCCTGTTCTAATAATAATAAAAATACCATTTTAGAGTCCTTCTACACTAGAGATCAGAAGATTAAGAGAAAACAGAGAAAGTAGAGGGAGGAGAAGAGAGGAGAAGAGAGAAGAGAGGAGAGGAGAGGAAAAAGAATGAGCCTGATAGGGAAAGAGAAATGACTATGGGATTAAATTACATGGAAATCATTGTGATCTGTTACTGACAAGCGCTGCTTCAGTAAATGGTAAGAATGGAAACTTGACTGAAGATTGAGAGAGACAGCGAAAGGTTAAGTGACAACAGAGAATATAGACAATTCCTTCATGGTTTGCTGTGAAGGAGTGAGCATAAGAATTAAGACCATGGTAAGAGATGCCAATGAGAATGATACAGTAAAGAGGGGATATTAACGATGGAGGAAGAAGAGGAGGGATTAGAGCTATAGGCAGCAAAGTCCCTAAGAAGTCAAGAGGGAATGAAATCCAAAGCACAAAGCAAAGGTTTTGGCTTTTATGGGATTGAGGATCTGTCTTTCATTGTAACAAAAGGGAAGGCCAAGGGTGTGAGAACAAATGCAAAGGGGTTAGAAGATGTGTTGATGGAAAAATGAGAGAACTCATGTTGTAACTATTCCAATTGCTTATATTTTAATCATTAAATATGAGGTGAGGTTACCAGCCGAAAGTGAGATGTGGGTAGGGATATCAACTTGAGAAAACAGAATAAAGCAGTATTTTTTTTTTTTTTGCTCATTTAAAGCAAAAATTTATTATTCTTTCCCATGATTCTGAGGGTTGACTGAGCTCAGCTGCGTAGTTCTTTTATTAAAGCAGTATTTTGAAAAGGGAGAAAGTAAATTTACTAGTAATTTACATATAGCAGGATTGCCAAACATTGCTGAGTTCCTATTTGAGATGTGTAATTTTTACTATAAACAAAAACCAATTAACACAGGTGTTTATTTTTCTTACCAATTTTTACCTGTTCAGTTTCAGGCAGGAAGCAAATAAGTAGATGGGTTTACCCAGAGTTGGATTTGTGCCAAGAAAGAGAGAGACAAGGGACCGATGATAATAAATGACCATGGTTAACAAGGGACATGAGTATATGAATGGTAATGATGACGGTGAAAAAGTGATATTCATAGAGTCAACGAATTGGTCTTGATAAGGCTGAAGTAATGCTGGAGAGTAGGTATGATGAAAAGAGGATCAGAGTGAGATGCTTATATTCAAAATACCAGAGGTGGTACAGCTGCTTTCTTTAATTTTTTTTTTCCTGGGCCATCTTATCTGGCATAGTTCCATTTTCTCTCTTAATCTCATGTATCACATGATGTTAACATCTTTTCTATGACAACTCCTGAGAATCCTCTTGTAACTGGACCTCAGTAAGTGGCAGAGCTTAGGTTTTGAGAGACAAACCTGGGGCTAACTCCAGCTCTGCCATTTGAGCTGTTTGACCTTGGGTAAGCCCTTTAGTTACAATGAGCATAGGTTTCTGTCTCTGAAGATAATGGCTTAACTTATTATACTTTTCATCCAGGCATTAAGATATAATAATGTAAAGATAAACACAGAGGGTTCCAGATAGCAATCCCTCAAAAAAAGAAAAAAAGAGAAAGAAAAGAAAAGGTTAACAGTATTACTGTATCTGTGCCTCGGAGCCAACTCCATGTAAGATCTTGTAGCTGCCTCAATCATAACATGTCCAAACCCAAACTTGGCCTCCTCCACACATTTGCTCCTCCTCCTGCACTCCTTCTTATCTAAGTTAATGGCACCACCACCTCATTACTTGAAGTAAAGTACTCAGAGCTGTCTGTCTCACCCTTTTCACTTAGTCTCACCATCCAGTTGGTCATCAAATCCTGGTATCATATATCAAGTCTAAGTGGCCAGAGATTTTAAGATGCACCAATATTTTCTGTACCACTAAGAAAAAAGTATGAAAAATGCTGCTAATTACAACTGTAAGATGCCATCACTTGATACAGCCAGGTTTCAAAAAAGTTATAGTGTGAAAAAATTATATCCTAGAATTGTCAAAATTTGGCAAATCTACCTTAAAATGTTTTTTGCTTTGTTTTACTTTTACCTATCATCTATCCCTTCTTTTCCATCTTCACCTCAATAATGAGTTCAGGCTCTCATTCTTTTACCCAAGGACCTATTGCAATGACCTCCTCCCACCCAAGCTTCCTGGCTTCCAAATACTCACTTCTGTCCACCTTTTTTTTTTTTTTTAAAGATTTTATTTATTTATCTGAGACAGAGAGCACATGAGAGGGGGGAGGGTCAGAGGGAGAAGCAGGCTCCCTGCTCCGCAGGGAGCCCGATGCGGGACTCGATCCCGGGACTCCAGGATCATGACCTGAGCCGAAGGCAGTCGCTTAACCGACTGAGCCACCCAGGCGCCCCACCTTTTTTTTTTTTTAAAAGATTTTTTACTTACTTGTCCGAGTGAGAGAGCGCGCGTGCGTGAGCGCGTGACTGCGCACGCGCACAAAAGCAGGGGGCGGGGCAGAGGGAGAGGGAGAAGCAGGCTCCCCGCTGAGCAAGGAGCCTGAAGCAGGACCCTGGGATCATGACCTGAGCCAAAGACAGATTGTGCTCTCATTTCTTAGTTTGATATAACCTGCTGGTCTCCAGCTTCCCCAATCAAAATAGAGTCCCTTCCACCTTTTAAGACGAAAATCAAATGCTACCTCTCTCTTCTGCAAGGCCTTCATTAATCCTTTTTAAAATTAACTGGGTCTTTGTCTGATTTTCATAAGGGTACTCCTTATGCATTGATTTAATGTTCATTTCCTTCTGCACTGTACTTAGAAAGTTGTTTACATCCTGCTTCCCAATTAGATTTCAGCCTCCTTAAGGTCAGGGGATGGGCATACTCATCTTTGTATCCACCTACAGCACCTGATATAATGCCTTGCACACTCTAAGATTAATAAAACTGAATTCTGATGTATTAAAAAAAGGCTGAAATCATGTTCCTAAAAGTGTCTCAAGAAGCAAAAGGTCAATGGCCACTAACAAACTGTGTAAAAGCAAAAGTTTAACCTTCCCATTTAATATGCCAAATTCTTTAGAAGAACAATCACAGGCAGACTACTTAGCTCTCTCTGCTAAGACCATTGGCAATGCCACCCACAGGAGAATCATTTTCACTGTTTGATACATGGTATTGTCACTGTCATTGTGTTGGGAGTTTTGAAAGAGTTGACTAATTCATTTCTTTGGAGCAAGTACTTATCAGATGATGATTTCTAAACAATGGTTTAAATTTGGCTTAGGAGAAGCGAGATCTATAAATAAATAACTACTAAAACAAACAACTTGTTATTTATTTGACTGTAATCTACAGGAGCAAAATACAAAGAATGTAGCCCTCCCTCAATTCCTGTCCACCCCTCTTCCTCTACCCAGATCCTGGTATATACAATACCTAAACACGCACATAATTTTCCTTAATATAATCTTACTGAGATATGGAAATAGTCATAAGTTGCCTGTTATTAGGCTTTATATCCAATTTACTCTCAAATGAGATCTGTGGCAATAAAACAGTATTCTTACAAAATAAAAATGCAAGACGACAACAGCAAGTGACATGTACAATGCCAAACTCATCTGGAGTAAGCATGTCAAAATGATATTCTAGGGTAATACACCCTGAGGCTGGGGAGGAAGAGGAGATAAGAGAGAGCAAGGTATAAAAAGTGGGCTCTTATCACTGGAATGGGCCTGAGGGGGACAGTCCTAGGTGCAGAAAGATTAACCCTAAATCTGTAATTCTACTGCATAGTTTTCATTTCTTTTATTTGAAGATGTTTGGTTTTTTTTAAAGATTTTATTTATTTACTTATTTATTTGACAGAGAGAGATACAGCAAGAGAGGGAACACAAACAAGGGCAGTGGGAGAGGGAGAAGCAGGCTTCCCGCTGAGCAGGGAGCCTGATGCAGGACTACTGGTATTTTGGACTGAGGAACTTTTTGTTGTAGGGAGCTCTCCTGTATATTGTAGAATGTTTAGCTAGCAGCATCCCTGGGCTCTACCCACTAGACATAACTAGCACACCCCTGGAGACAATCAGAAACATCTCTAGGCATTGCCAAATATCCCTGGGGGATGAAATCCATCCCACCCCTTTGAGAACCACTGGTCTAGGATATTCACATGAATTTCCCAAATAACCTAATGGCCCTGGTAGTATCAAATTCATTTTCAGCTGTGGAAACTGAGACTCAAGGAAATAATAATACAGGTTATAAGTGGCAGAACCAGTATTTAACCATCATTCAATGTGACTCAGCTGCAAATTGAGTGCTCTTTCAACTAAGAAATAGATTTTTCTTCCTTAGGGCAGAGTTAGTAAACAATAGTCTGAGAGTAAGAAATAGAGGGCACATGCCTGAAAGAAGCAAAAGATTAGGATCAAGACTTTGGGATCAGTAGGGGCTACAGAAAAGGGGCATTGATGGAGGTGATGGGAGGGAAAGACAACCAACAGGCCTGGCAATCACACTTAAAGTCAACTCCTCTGTCTCTTATCACCTTTGTTAGAGACTAGAGCTAATCTTTCTTCAAAGAATATTCTTTCTTGCACCTATGTCAACATTTTATGGGCTTCATGAGACAAGACCTAGAAAGACTGAAAAAGAAGCCTGAGGTATAGAAATGATGCTAATAGCTCCCCTACCATCACCAACTTTGGGAATTTGGAAACTTTTCAAAATTAAAATTTCTGGATTGTTCTTGTTATGTTTCAAGAAATCTTTGGCTCTGGACCAAAATTTCAGTCCTAGAACTTTAAAACTGTGTTATCCTGAGAACTAAGTTGCTTAATGCCTATTGGTCCGGGTCCCCATTTCTGTCCAGGTAAAAGGAAAAGTAATACATTTTTGCCTCCCCTACCTTTATCCCTACTTAGAATGCTTTCAGGAATCTTATTTGTTTAGTACATATGCTAGCTATTACATACCAACCTTAAAATTATTAGGATATAACAACACTTTTTTTCAGTGAATTTTTTGTTATGCTCTAAGTATGTTAAAAAAACCCACAATATTATTATACATTTTTTGAAGTGTCTGCATTCTTTAAACTTAATTTGGAAAAGAGAAAAATGGTAGTCCATATGGCTTTTTTCAAAGCAAATTACTTGTGATAGTTATGTACAAGGCTGGTTCTTAAATCCACTCTTGGGAACTGAGAGGCAATCAGGACTCAAATGTGGGCTCAGTATACTGCGGCTGATAACATGCTGGCCAATCAACAGCCTCTGATGAACACTGATGAATGAATTTAGTCAACCTAGAATGAGGACTCTAAGTTGCATAAAGCTTTGTACCTAGCCTTACCTTGTCAACATTTTTAATCAACAATATGGGTGGAAAGCAAGGCAAGAAGTCCTCCCTGGGAAAAAAAAAAACAAAGGATTCTTCCTCTAGTACTCTAAGCTGGAAACAGTCCACCCTATTACTGGACTCTACAAGAAACAGACACCCCACACCCTAAGGAAGCTGATTTCATCTCAGATTATTTCAGCCAGAGAGCGTGCCATTACATAAGTACAAATCTTAATATCGTAGAGCTACATAAAGCTTGATTCCTTTCCAGATGAAAAAAAGTTTATATTTAAAGATTCAGGGTGCCTGGGTGACTCAGTTGGTTAAGCGACTGCCTTCAGCTCAGGTCATGATCCTGGAGTCCCGGGATCGAGTCCCGCATCGGGCTCCCTGCTCGGCAGGGAGTCTGCTTCTCCCTCTGACCCTCCTCCCTCTCATGCTCTCTGTCTCTCATTCTCTCTCTCGCAAATAAATAAAATCTTTAAAAAAAAAAAAAAAAAAAGATTCAATAACGGGCGCCTGGGTGGCTCAGTTGGTTAAGCAACTGCCTTCGGCTCAGGTCATGATCCTGGAGTCCCTGGATCGAGTCCCGCATCAGGCTCCCCACTTGGCAGGGAGTCTGCTTCTCCCTCTGACCCTCCCCCCTCTCATGTGCTTTCTCTCTCTCTCATTCTCTCTCTCTCAAATAAATAAAATCTTAAAAAAAAAAAAGACTGAGGTAGAGACAGGCAGAAAATGCAAAATGTCTAAACTGTCCAATTTTAAGTACATTTGTATCAAAAAAACAAAGTATTGACAATGTGGGTACTTAGGCTACCTCCACTAGTTCTTTACCTTTCCATTCTTCCCCATCCCAATCAGCATCTACATTATCCATTTAGATTTAAGGTCTCTCCTACCCGAACCTTCTCCTTTAAAGTAATATGCTTTTTTTTTTTTTTACAGTGACCTTTCAGGGGGTAATGGCCCCTAATTCTGTTGAACAAGCAAAAGAAAAGGATCTTGCAGATGGTGAGATTTGGGGACAAATAATGAGGTTGGCAAAAGAATGGTTATCTGGGAGAGGGCTAGGCAAAAAGGACCTTAAAGGTAGATCTCAGAGTTGGCCAGAGATGCTGTGTCCGGGAGGTGGAAGTAACAATGGGAACATGGTACCTACTACCCCAGGTTATGCTATCTCCAGTATCCCACAAATACCAGTATGTGGGGAGGGTAAATGGTCCAAGCAGATCAGATTTGCTTTAACTATACAAAAGGCAACAGTTATATGAAACCAGTTAAAACCTCTGGACGTCCTGTGGCAATTTCTAGAACAAACTCACTCCATTGGGAAAGCAAATCTTCATCAAGTGCACTGCCTCAGTAAGTGCACTGCCTCAGAAAGCCACTGGAAAGCACAAGTTACTTGAAAGGCTGGTGTGCTCATAGGAGGGCCTGTCTCAGCACCCACACTAAAAGTAAACATTTATTGAATATTATTCTGCCCCAGACCTTATGCTAAGCACTACATATGAATTACTTGATTTAATCATCCCAAAATGCAAGGAAGGATGTTGCTACTACTACTATTCCCATCTTACAGATAAGGAAACTGCTCTGAAAGAGGTTAAGTAACTTGTATGAGGTCATATAACTAGTAAACGGAAGAAGCTAGAACTCATGCAGTCTGAACATAGAACTCAGGCCTTCAACCACCACACCTTTATGCCTCCCTAGTAGAAAAAGATGACAGTTTACAAATCGTTAATTTTTTATTAGCAGATTTCATTTTAGAACACAGCCAACAAATACAGGAAAAAAAGAGAGAGAGAAAGTGAGGGAGGGAGGGAAGAAGACCCCCAAGAGTGTCTGCTCACGTCAGTTTTTAGGACCTAATCTACTGAAGACACAAATGATAACGACAGAGGTTCAAACCAGAGATTATAAGCCTTAGTTCTCTTACGTTAAAAAAAAAATGGGACAACCAGCCTATCTCACAGCACTGGTGAGAGAAGTAAATGAAGTAATTAAATACATACAAAAGCATTCTGTAATCTTCAAAGCACTACCCTCTACTAGAATCATTTTTGTTACACACAGAAAGCACAGGTATGGAAAATCAACCAGGCAGAACACATTTTCAACACAACTGCAAAAGGGCCTATTAACTAATGGAAACAGATATAATGCATACAACTAAGACCAAGTGGAAATTATTTCCCAAGGTATCTTTATCAGCTTTTAATGCTATTGCTGGGGGTATATTCACTCAGAATTTAACATATACTTGTGGGAACTTCATGTCAGAAACCAAGTAGAAGAGCAAACACAAACATCTCCTCCTCCCAGCTATGTAAGTAGGCAGTGGCAGCAAATGCCAGCTCAAATACCGCCCTCCGTGCAGCCATCCTTGATCTCTCCAGTCAGAATTGATCAAGCCATCCCCTATATACTCTCACAGCACATTTGCTATTTCCTTGGCATTTCATTCTGAGGGATATCAAGTTATCAGTTGCTTCCAAGCCTGACTTCCTACTTCCTCGAACTCAGTAAATTCACACAGAACCCCAAACACCTAAGGCAAATGATCGTGTTGGCTGGCACTCAAATGTTTGCTCTCTGAAGTCTGTATGTCTCAATTCTAAATATGCGGCTGTAGTTCCAGTCTGCATTTCAGGGTAAATACAGACACACCACAAACGTAAAAACAATTCAGGGTGGAGAAAAATCTGATTGTTCCTGCATAGTATCTTCTCCTCTTCTTGATCTACGCGTTAAAGAAATGCTCTTTTAAACACCGAATGGGAGGCACAAACGGAAACGAAAGAGCAGACAAATGCTTTAGAACCTTCAAAATTCCGTTTCTAATTCAGAACTACTCTCTCCTACCTCATTTCACAAACACATTAGGCACCTTTTGCGACACAAAGAGAGGGTATTCTATCTCCTCGCCGATCCGTTCCTGGAATAAAAGACCATGCCTTTCATTTTTAAACATCACTTAAGGGCGGGTACTATCTACTTTGCCAATTTTGAACCCAGAGCAAAGGACACGGCTGGGTTAAGCAAAGGAAAGGAGGCTGGAAATGGAAAAGACTCTCCCCAACTAGCACTGCAGGCAGGCCCAAGGACAGAAACACTAAACTTGTGCAGGGGACGAAGGACTCTTAGGCAAGGCTCCCAGGAAACGTGCTCCAATGGGCTTCACCACACGCCACACGGGTGGCACAGGGGCGTAAAACACTGTTGGGATTCCTTTCTGACGAGGCCTCCTTCGACGCCGGAGTCGGCCGGGTGAGGCCGCCGGCGGAGGCAGAACCGCCTGGCCGCCCTCCCTTCAGACCCCAGGCCGCTGTCACCCTCCTCCAAAAGGCACACAGATGAACCCAGTAATCACGACGCGATCCCGTCCCCCAGGACGCGGCCTCCCATTGCCAGAGGAGAACGCGGGTTAGCGTCTGCACCCATCTCGGCGCCTCACGCCCCGTCCCCGCCACACACGGAGACCGCCCTCGGCTCCGGAGGGCCACCTCATACCCGACCCTGTTTCGTAGAAGTGCCCAGAATCACCCATTACCTTCCCCAAGCAAATGTGGCACGTGATGGGCAGAGTGAGCGACAATGTAACGTTCTGCACGGTCTGAGCCATGGCAGCGTTCAGAATCCCGCCAACACGGAAGTCCCGCCGACGGCGGCTCCTCGCCGCGTCTGGGGCCGCGCGAGGCCGGCTACGGCAGCCCGGCAGGGCCACAGCCCGCCGGGAGAGGAAACGAAAACGCGCTTTCGAAACGCGCGGTCGCCACGACTTTTTTTCCTTCCTTCCTCCCTCCCTCTCTCCCTCCTTCCTTTCATTAAAAAAAAAAAAAAAAAATTCCCGTGTTGGGGAGCTGCAATATTCTTAAGAAGGAAGGCAGTATACTACAGGCATCGATGGGGGATCCTGAAAGTTTAAATGAAAAAGTGCGGGGCCGAGAGGAAGATGGGGAAGGTGATTTTAAATGCCTTAGTCTTTCCCAGAGGGTGGAGGGGATATTTCCGCCTAAAAATTAAACCCTACACAGTCTGCAAACACATGGCGCTGTCAAAACAGGAAGAGAAAAGATGCTATCTATGCATTTTAATTTTTCAAAACAACTTTCTGCCGCTCTCAGGTCTTTTTCCATTCTGAAATGATGTAATGTCACTTAAAAGCAACAGTGATGGTCTTTGATCTGTTTCCGAGGCAGGTTACATTCTATCGCAACTTTCCCTGAAGACATTCTTTTCGTTGGCCCTTCTGTGGTTTCTAACAGAGACTTAAGGGTCCGAGCCACGGACTCTGATTTACACCCACCGGTGAGAAAGCTGCAGGTCGTGCCCGTCGCCCACACTCCCGGAAAGCACTTGCACAAGCGTTTAAAGCCTTCATTTCAGGTGCGTGTTGGGTAAGACATGTATCATTGTGCTGTAGAACTCGAAGGACAGTGTGTGAGGTTCTAAGTCAGCATTTCCTACCAGTGAAAAAGAAAAACTAAAAGTTCCTACATGAATCTTGAATATAACGGATTTGGAATTTAACAGCAACTAACTTTAAGTGAGAAAGAGCCAATGTAATTAATTTATGCAAACAAACACAAGTTGTGAGCAGGGAGTTTTAGAAACAAAACCAATGGAACGACTTTCGGTAATCTTTCGGAAAAAGAGTATGATCGCGAGAAGCACGTGGTCAAAGGAAAGAGGTTCTGGACCTGTACCCGCAGGGTAGCATTCCCTGCCCCCACAACTTCTAGCTCTCCTGGCTTCAGACAATTTATTTAACCTCTCTGCTTCTTAGCTTCAGTCTTGGTAAAGTGTGTGCGCGTGTGTGTGTTAAATGAGGTCAATGCATGCTTACTATCATGTTTCAAAGAAACAGACAGTAATGGGACTGGACCAGCCAGTAATTCACCTAAAGAAGCCCAAGTCCAGTTCAAAATCGGCTCACACACAACAGTGAGAATTCTTCCAAACAGCTCAAAACTTCATTTCCTGGGAATTGGAGGCCATCATCTGTTTGGAATTGGAGGATTAGGCAAAATAGTCATGTCGCTTGTTTGGTTAATGGCCACTTTTTCAAAATGCCTGGCATAAAGTCACCTGGTTTGGTTATTTTCTGGCTATTTGAAATAATATTTTTACGGGGTTTGGAGTTCACATGTTTTGCTAATGTATCTTTCCTGTCCCTAGATCTCAGACTTCAGAATGAGAAATCTCCAGGTCATTTATTACCCACTGCCATTCAAGTTTCACCTTTTCCCCATCCTGCAGTGTTCTTCCCTACTCTCACCTTGTCCACTCTCTGTTTTTACCTCACTGATATCTAAGATGGTATGTTAGGACCTGTCATTGCCACCCTCTGAGTGGGATGTAGAACTGAGAATGTTCTGCCTCTCACAGCCATCCCTGGAAACAGTGCAACAGGGAGACATGTTGAAGACAGTTTTTTTAAAAATTCTTTTCCGTTGTTAATGGAGAAGATTCATTTCTTGTTAATCACCTTGGTGATTGGTGTTAACAGTCACAAAGTGAGTTTAAAAAATTGTAACCTACATTTTAAGTAGAATGTTAAAATCTAGAGTATTCCCAGCCTCTCTTTCCACATTCACTATCATTGTCACAGCTCCTTAGTGCTGTTGTTGTAGTTTGTCCATATAGTTATTTCTGTGCTGATCACATTGTATTATAGTTGGTTGTTTATGTGTTTGCCCCCACAACAGACTGTTTTTTGAGGTCAGAGATTGTGTCTGATTTATCTCTAGTATCTGGTACTAGGTGACTATTCCACAAAAGATAATATTTTCTTTAGCTACAGACTCAGGCTGTTTTAAACATTGCCTTTACTTGTTTTTCACTGCAAAATGGAAGGCTGTGTTACTTTTTTGCTAATTATAAAAATAATAAGGCTTGTCTTAAGAAAATTAAGCCATTTATAAATATATAAAGTAATAAGCAAAAGTTCCTCTGTACTTATGCCTCACCTTCCTATCCTGTGTGATAATCACTATTAAATTCTAAAGCATATCCTTACAAACAGTTTAATTCATATATTTGTGCATAAGCACAAATAGGATCATACCATAATATACTTGCTTTGTTTACTAATGCTTGTGAATAGGCGTGCACACACACACACACACACACATCTAAATAATATTGTTAGCAATATGGGCTGATGAGGACTATCTCTAGGTCCAAACTGATTCCAGGCCAATTCCCAGGCGTCACTTTTAATAATACAAATGGTTTGGGGCACCTGGGTGGCTCAGTCGGTTAAGCGTCTGCCTTCGGCTCAGGTCATGATCCCAGGGTCCTGGGATCGAGCCCCGCATCGGGCTCCCTGCTCAGCGGGAAGCCTGCTTCTCCCTCTCTCACTCCCTCTGCTTGTGTTCCCTCTCTCGCTGTGTCTCTCTCTGTCAAATAAATAAAATCTTAAAAAAAACAACAACAACAACAAATGGTTTAAAGCCAGGAACTATCCTTTCCCTCTGCTCTATGAACAGCATTTCTTTTTGTTGACAAATCACGTTCTAAACAGATGTCATTTGGCCAAAATTGTTAAATAATGTTGCTATTACTCTAATAGGAAAACAAAGATTATATGGCTCATTGACTTTGTGCTTAATCTGTGTCTTGGCTTCTTAGTAGCCTTATGGAGAGTCCTGTGACCTGAGGGGTACCATCAAATGTAGCACCTGGAATGGGTTAAACCCCCCTAAATTCTTAGAACTATAAACTTTTAGAACTAGAAAGAATCTTAGGGGTTTTTATGCAGGTCTCTCCTGTCACAGATGAAGACATTGAGACCTAGAGAAGGTAAACCACCGGAAAATGGTAGATTTGGAGCTAAATCCTAGATCTTACTTGGATTCTCTGAGATTGTTGGCCCGATGCCTTTGTGTAAATGCAAGATGTATTATTATTAATAAAGGAGTTCAGTAATAAAAAGTCAGTCATAATTGAATTTCTTTGCTAAGAAAACCATCAAATAGCTATGGAACACCTTTTACCCCTTGTTTAAATCAGATTCATTTTTATGATAAATTATTTAAAAGCAAGTTTAAAAAAATATAAAATCTTAAGTGCTATTAAAAATTGATTAGGCATGCATTATTCTTTCATTGACCCAGTTCAGATTGTTTTTTAATTTTTTTGGTCAAAGCTAATAAATTTGAGTAGATGTTTCAGACAGACGTTTTGTAATCATTTGGCCATCAGTCAATTAATCACAACTTCATAAATATTGATTTCAGATTACGTTTATCTTTCATTCCTGAAACACAATCTTTTTTGTTGTTGTTTGTTTTAAATTTATACTCCCCCACTTGGATTGTGGTTAACACTGAGGAAACTCATAAAAGTTGGATTAAAAAAAAATAATCATAGGAGCTGGCCCAGCTTCATGGACGTCAAGCATGGAACAATTTTCTCATAGGCTGGGAATTCTGAGCTAAAATGTCTCAGGATGGTGGCATGAAAGATGCTTGTTACTATAGCCAAAGTTTTTCTTGCAAGTTTTTTTTTTAAATAGACTACTGGAAGTTAACATGAATTTGTATAATGTATTTCTACTAAAAACATTAAGGAACAACTAACTCAGGCAAAGTTCTGTCTCGTGGAGACTTCCTTCCAGTAGGAAAGTTACACTGCATTGGCTTAGAACCAAATCTTGGCCTCTGGAGTAGCAGATGAGGTTTTAGTGCTGAATCTACACATCAAATTTGTTGTAAATCACAATATAAGTGATTGCAGAATGAATGAATGAATGAATGCATGAATGAATGAATTAATGAAGTTATGTATTATTCCACAAATATTTGAAGTTTTTTTTTTTTTAACGTGGCAGGCATTGGTCTAAAAGCCTTATACTCAGCTATGAATCCCTGCCTGCTTTTATTCATTCAACAACCGCTTGGCTGACTACCCTTGAGGTGCCAGCCACTGTACTATTTTTTCTTTTCTTTTCTTTTCTTTTTTTTTCTAAGTAGGCTCCACACCGAAAGTGGGGCTTGAACTCACAACCCTGAGATCAAGAGTCACATGCTCTGCCAACTGAGCCAGCCAACACCCCACCACTGTACTATTAATAAGCCACTTTATCAATGGAACTACGGAGCCCAACTCTTCTATTTCTACAGTAATTTCTCTTCTAGGTGTTCTTATTGTGGGTTAGCCTCTGGCATTGTGACACAGCAAGTTACAGTTTTAAATATTTTAAAATGTTGCAAATTGGGTGATCGTTTTAAATTAGGTAATTTTTAAAAGAATATTTTAGTTCCACCTAAGGCTTAGTGGTACTTCACAAATGTTTGTTGAATGCTAGAGAATAAATAAAGGAAACATTATCTCCGGGAATATTGTAACAGGCACCACAAACACAAAGAAGTTGTGGGCTTTGCCACAGTAACAGAACAGGGAAGCCCGCTCTGAGATCCTGACTGCTTTTGTCTTTAAGCTGCCTGACAGACCATATTCCTTTTTGCCCTGACTTCCAAGGTGAGATCCTCCAGTAAGAATTAAAAGCCAGGGGTGCCTGGGTGGCTCAGTCTGTTAAACATCTGTCTTTGACTCAGGTCATGATCCCGGGGTCTTGGGATTGGGCTCCCCACATGGACTTCCTGCTTGGCAGGGAGCCTGCTTCCCCCTCTCCCTCTGCCTGCCACTCCCCTTGCTTGTGCTCTCTGTCTCTCTCTCTCAAATAAATAAATAAAATCTTA